TCTGCCTCCAGTCCATCAAGATCACACTACTGAACACCCATTGGTCCTCCTTCTATATCCCACCACAGCATACACACCTCACTTCCCTGTACAAGCCTGCAATGATATCACCTTTCCCCGAACTCCCCATTCCATAAACTGATAACTCCGATAGACCCTTCCCTGCACTCCCCATTCTATATACTGACTATTCCGATAGACCCTTCCCTGCACTCCCCATTCTATATACTGACTATTCTGATAGACCCTTCTCTGCACTCCCCATTCTATATACTGACTATTCCGATAGACCCTTCCCTGCACTCCCCATTCTATATACTGACTATTCGACAGACCCTTCTCTGAACTCCCCATTCTATATACTGACTATTCCGATAGACCCTTCTCTGCACTCCCCATTCAATATACTGACTATTCTGATAGACCCTTCTCTGCACTCCCCATTCAATATACTGACTATTCTGATAGACCCTTCCCTGCACTCCCCCATTCTATTATACTGACTATTCTGATAGACCCTTCCCTGCACTCCCCATTCTATACACTGACTATTCTGATAGACCCTTCTGTGCACTCCCCATTCTATATACTGACTATTCCGATAGACCCTTCTGTGCACTCTCCATTCTATATACTGACTATTCCGATAGACCCTTCCCTGCACTCCCCATTCATATATACTGACTATTCCGATATACCCTTCTCTGAACTCCCCATTCTATATACTGACTATTCTGATAGACTCTTCTGTGCACTCTCCATTCTATATACTGACTATTCCGATAGACCCTTCTCTGCATTCCCCATAATAAATAATACCAACTCCAATATATCCTTCTCTGCAGTCCCTATTCCATATACTGACAAGTCCAATAGACCCTTCTCTGAACTTCTCATTCTGACAACTCTGATAGTCCCTTCTCCACACTCCCTATTCAATATACTGCCAATTCCGATAGACCCTCCTCTGCACTTCCTATTGTATTTACTAACTATTCCGATAGAATGGGAAGTTCAGAGAAGGGTCTATCGGAATAGGTAGTAAATACAATAGGGAGTGCAGAGAAGGGTCTTATTGGAGTTGTCTTTATATTGAATGAGGAGTGAGGAGAATGGACTATCAGAATTGTCAGTGTTAGAAAGGGTATTGAGGAGAAGGGTCTATCTGAATAGTTAGCATATGCAATAGGGAGTGCGGAGAAGGGTCTATTGGAGTTGTTAGTGTTAGAATGGGAAGTTCAGAGAATGGTCTAACACTAACAACTCCAATAGACCCTTCTCCGCACTCCCTATTGTATTTACTATTCCGATAGACCCTTCTCTGAACTCCCATTCTATATAATGCCAACTCCGGATAGATCCTTCTCTGCACTCTCTGTTCCATATACTGACAAGTCCAATAGATATTTCTCCACACTCTCCATTCTATAAAGTGTCAATTCCGGTAGACCCTTCTCTGCACTCCCCATTCCATATACTGCCAACTCCAATAGATGCTTCTCTGCACTCCTCATTCCATATACTGCCAACTCCAATAGATCCTTCTCTGCACTCCTCATTCCATATACTGCCAACTCCAATAGATCCTTCTCTGCACTCACCATTCCATATACTGCCAACTCCAATAGATCCTTCTCTGCACTCCCCAATTCCATATACTGCCAACTCCAATAGATCCTTCTCTGCACTCCCCATTCCATATACTGCCAAATCCAATAGATCCTTCTCTGCACTCCCCATTCCATATACTGCCAACTCCAATAGATCCTTCTCTGCACTCCCCATTCCACATGCTGCCAACTCTAATAGATCCTTCTCTGCACTCCCCATTCCATATACTGACTATTCCAATAGACCCTTCTCTGCAGTCACCATTCTAACACTGACAACTCTGATAGTCTAGTCTCCGCATTCCCCAGTCAATATACAGACAACTCTAATAGACCCTCCTCTGCATGCCCCATTCTATATACTGCCAACTCCGAAAGACCCTTCTCCGCACTCCCTATTCTATTTACTAACTATTCCGACAGAATGGGAAGTTCAGAGAATAGTCTATCGGAATAGTTAGAAAATACAATAGGGAGTGAGAAGGGTCTATCGGAGTTGTTAGTGTTAGTCCATTCTCTGAACTTCCCATTCTAATACTAACAACTCCAAAAGACCCTTCTCTGCACTCCCTACTGCATATGCTAACTATTCCGATAGACCCTTCTCCTTACTCCCTATTGTATTTTCTTTTACAAAGAGCTTTATTGAATAGTAAGCAAAGATAAACAGACAGTCAAAGCAAAAATTTCAATGACCAACATTTACAAATTGTATTAAATGAAGGGAAGCTGGTTCAAGGCATGCATCAATAAAAGCATAATCTGAAAAGTTTACATAGGTGCCCTGAGGGAAAGGATGGGGAAAGGGGTTGGAAGGGAACGGGTAACAAACCTTTGTGGGTCAATGATAATGTAAACTCTAAAGGGAAGTTTTGCTACATCAACATTATAGAAAACGGGAGAGGCACGAGAAGAGGCCTCACCAAAAAAACAGTACATGTTCATGACCTAGAGTTTATAAAGAAATCTAGATTGCAGAAATAGTATTGCGGATGTAGCGCAGAAAACAGCAGGCACAATCCGTAAAATATGTTTAAGGACAGATTAAACAGGAGAGTAGAAAAAGACAAATAGTAGAGAGACACGGACAACACACACAAACAAAAAAAAAAAAAAAAAAAAGGGGGGGGGGGGAGGGGCTCCAAGGGGATCACAGCAAAATCCATCCTCATTCGACAGAAGGGACTGGTCGAATCTCGAGGGTTGGGCTATATCCAGCCAGGGACGCCATATCTGCAGAAATTTTGTATGGGTATCCAACAGTATGGCCGTCAGTTTTTCATTAACCATGAAGTTCGTCCGATTTTTGACAGCCTCAAAGCTAAGGACAGGAGTCTTCCAAGCCCTCGCAATTGTCAATTTAGTTGCCATAAATAAGTGTGATGCCAGCTGCCGTTCAGAGCGGAGAAGGCCCTCTAGTGGTTTAAATAGAAGCGCTTCATACGGGTTACGCTTAATGTCTGTGTGAAGAATAGTGCGGAGGAGGGCATACACCCTAACCTGCTTACTTTAGGGCAAGTCCACCAGATGGGGGCCATGGTGTCCAATTGTTGGCATCCCCAAAAACAGACCGGGGAATAGGTAGGGATAAAACTAGCTAAACGAGCAGGCGTATAATACCATCGGTATAGAATTTTGTAGGCATTCTCAAGGATAATGACATTCCTGGAACACTTAGATAATGTTTGGGTCATGTTCTGCCAGTCCTGTTGATCCAAGGTCCCCCCTAATTCAGACTGCCAACGCTGATGATAAGAACGAACCGGAGGGGTTCTATATGACATAATGGAAGAATAAATCAAGGAGATCAGACCCGGAGCATGAGGTCTATGTCTGCACTGGCTTTCAAAAGGGGATAGACGATAAGGTCCTGGACGCGGACGTAGAGTATGAATAAAGTGACAAAGTTGAAGATAACCAAAATGTTCTCGAGAGGAATGTTATAAGAAGAACACAGAGTGTCAAAGGTAATTATTCTAGTGGGGGATAGGAGTGAGTGAACATCATAAAAACCATGCGCCTGCCACCAGACAAACTGTCTAGGATTATCCTTACCCGGAGGGAATAATGGGTTATGCAATAGATGTATCAGAGGCAGGTGAGGAGAGATAAGGCCAGCGGAGTATTTGATAGAATCCCAAAGACGAAGCGAAAACGTCAGCGTTGGGCTAAGTGTAGATGGACGTTGGGATATAGGGAGCCATGGCAAGGAGGGGAGCGGTATCCGGTGAGAGTCCATCATATCTACTACAGCCCACAGGGGGAAATGGTGAGATGCATGAATATGAGCTAAAGGGGCAATGTTAGCCGCCAAATAGTAAGACCGGAGATTTGGAACAGATAACCCGCCCGCACTCCGCTGCGCGAATAAGATATGTTTGCTAATTCTGGGTCGAGAGGAGCCCTATTGTATTTTCTAACTATTCCAATAGACCCTCCTCTGAACTTCCCATTCTAACACTAACAGCTCCAATAGACCCTTCTTGTCACTCCCTATTGTATTTACTAACTATGGACTTGGGTATAGGATTATAACTTTTTTTTTTTCTATGGTTGAACTGGATGGACTTTTGTCTTTTTTTTTCAGCCAGACTAACTATGCAACTATGTAACATGCAGTGCACAGCCTATTTGCCTTTAGTAAATCAACCCCATAATGTCAATGGCATGGCCTGCAATTAGTCCGGGCCTCAATCCAATTGAAAATCTATGGTGGAAATTAAAGAAAATAGGCCATGTCAAGGTTCCAACCTGCAACGCTGATCTGGCAACTGCAACAAGAGAAAGTTGGAGCTGGATTGATAAAGAATATGGTTTGTCGATAGTTAAATTCATACCTCAGAGAATTCACGCTGGTATAAAAGGCAGAGGTGGCGCAACAAAGTACTAGTGGTGTACTGTAATGTTTTTTTTTCATGATTCCATATTTTTTTTCTGCTTAATCTGCAAAAACAGTTTCAAATGACTACAGGTTTCTTTCTTTTTTATTATTTTAAGTGTTTTTTAAAGCCTGAAGGTTGGAATGTTATATGAAATCAGTTTTGAGGCATATCAGTAATTGTTTTTTTTCTACACAATTGAGTGATGATTCCATACTTTTTGCCAGGGGTTGTAATCCGTATTGAATTAGGCCATTCTCTGCACTCCCTATTCCATATATTCACAAATTCCCAGGCCCCTCTCGGTATGCCTCCTTCCATATAAAACTACTCCCTTAGGCACTGTGTATGTTGTAAACTACTGGAAGATAACCTGCACAAGTGAATTGGTTGTTTTGTCATTCCTGGGCAAAGCAAAGGTTCAATTTTAAAATGAAACATATAAAAGGATGACGAAAGACAGCATAGATAACTATAGCATGGATCCACTGAATACAGTTCAAAGCATGATTCATACCTGCACATTCCTATTAAGACTGACAGCAGGAAAGAGCAATCCCTCCATGCTCTCAAATGCCACAGGACCCTGCTGCTCTTCATTGATGGAGAAAGTCAAGGTCCTCCTGGTGAAGTCTAGGAGGACCCCAACCGTGGCACCTTTTGTGATACCCCCTTCAGTCCTGTATGGAAACACAAATACAGAGTTGGTTGTCTTGTCAATTTTACCATGAGAGTTCACCTGACAATGAATAACAGTATCATTCCAGTGACTAGGGACCACTCAGGAACTTTGTGAGATACAAAAAAGTTACTGCAATTCATAATGTATATTCAAAGTCGATGTTAACCCTAACTGAATGACATTTAGTTTGCCAGAGCACCTTGTATCATAAACAACTGCCATTTTAAAAAAAAAAAAAAAAAAAACTTATATATTTATCTTTTTTTTTTCCTTTTAACCCTCTCTCTGCCAGAGCCGATTGTGCATTTCTTTTTAGGCCTAAATATTACACAAAACCCCAAAACATTATATACAGTATATATTCTGAAAGCAGACACCCTAAAGAATAAAATATTATTATTATTATACAGTATTTATAAAGCACCAACAGTTCGCTCAGCGCTGTACATTACAAAGGGGGACAGAACATGTGACAGAACAATACCAATACAATGCAATACACGAGGGGATTGAGGGCCCTGCTCCTTGGAGCTTACAATCTGGGACTAGTGGTAGTTTAAATATTTAAAAAAGTTATATTAAAGGCAAATTTGGAAAAAAAAAAGTCATACTTACCTGCAGTGGTTTTCACAGAGCAGCTCTGATCCTCCCCATCTCGGGTCCCCCGCCGGCACTCCTGGCCCCTCCCTATTGCAGAGTGCCCCCATAGCAAGGAGCTTGCTATGGGGCAACCCAGCAGGCTTGCTTCATTCAAACACAGAGCACAGCTGAGCCCCATCCCCTGCTCTCACCTCTTTGACTCACTGATTGACAGTAGAGCCAATGGCTGTCTCAGCCAATGAGGAGCAAGAGACCCAGGAGAGCCGCTGCTCTCGTGCACATTGTTGGATCAAGATGGGGCTCAGGTAAGTATTAGGGGGGCTAGGGGAGCTTCACACAGAAGGTTTTTTTGCCTTCATTAATAGGAAGCCTTTAGCCCGGGTTCACACTGATGCGGTTTCACACCAGTTTCTGTGCGATCTTTGCACCGCATCATAATTACACCCCGTTCATACGAACCGCTGCGGGTGTGTATTTTCAGTTAACGACACCCCAAATCAGTTTGCAAAACGCAATGTGATGTGCAGATTCGGATCACATGGATGTGAACACTCATGCGCTTCGATTCTGGTGCAGCCAAAAAAAGGGTCCTGCGGATGCAGTGCTATTTGAGCCGTACAAATCGTATGGCTAAAATTACACCGCACAGAAATCACGTGATTTGCGTTACAGTTCCTGTGCGAATCACATGCGATGTACCGTACCGCACAACTGTGAACCCAGGCTTACAATCACTTTAATTTTAGGGAACATAAATGCAGTCAATTACCCAATTTTTTGGAAAGCTATAGGAAAGACAAGGGTGAGCTTGCACCCAATAAAAACTGTAGATACCCATCATGTCAAAATGGCCAGGGGCAGACTGACAACTCATGGGGCCCCCCGGCAATAGGGGATCATGGGGCCCCTGTGCCCTCGCCCACACTCAAGCCACACCCAAAAAAGCCTATGAAAGGTACCAGGGGCATCTCATGGAGCCCCCTACTGACTCTGGGCCCTCGGGCAGTGCCCGAGTTTCCAAATAATCAGTCCGCTCCTGGCCCCAGCGCATACATTTACTTTCATACATACATGTACGTGGGGGTGGCTTAAAAATGGGGGGGGGGGTGTACATTAAGTGCTTGGGTGGAAATTTAGGTTTTTACACTTTTTAAAATGTTTTTTGACTGATTGTTAATTCATCACATAGGATGCAAGACGGCCCCTAAATGATACATTTAGGGGTGACAGGTTCACTTTAATGAAGCATCAGGGATCTAAAGGACCCCTGATGTCTCACCTGTCCTCCAATGAAGATGAAAGAACGCAGATCATGTTCCATTAGCTTCTTTACCATCCAGTATGACACAGGGACTGAGAAGTGATGCATTACATCATCACTTCTGGGTCAGTAACACAAAGGGGAGACCAACGAATGGACATTTGCTGGTCTCCCACCATTCTACACGGCAGTGCCTGCTGAGTTTGCCGATGGACACACAGAGCCTGGGAAGCATGGCAGGGGTGCATGCGGTGTGGGGGCTGGCCGTTATTGGGGTTTGTAGAAGCAAGCAGGAGCACCAATGGAAGGCAGGGACAGAGCCCTGTCACCCTCTAACAGGAAGTGCCTAAACAAGGAACTTCATAGCAGGATCAACAGCTGTTTTAAGGAAAGCTAGAGATTTTGAAAATATTAAAAAGGACCTTTGAAATTTCCATTAGCATGTCAAGGTTTATACAAGATTTGAGTGATTGGGTTTACATTCGGCTAATATTTGCCAAATAGGCAGCCTATAACTCAAGACAAGGGTACTACCTTCCTCCCAATAAAAACCCCATGACAATAGATGTTGGTTTACCTGTTTGTATGGGAGTTGCTGTGCATGAACCAGCTTCGGTTATTATCCACGTACATAGCCCACGCTTTGTCGTCCTTTCCCAGCATGACATCCTTCATCACCTCTATACGGGCCACGCCAAAGGCTGGGTCTGGGTGATTGTCATACCGGTCAATGGTGAGTTCCCAATAGTGGACTCCCTTGGAGAAGCCTGTCTTGCCCAAGACCACCCTGTCATCATAGCTGTTACATGTGACGGTTAGGTTGTCATTAGAGAAGATGATGTCAGAGTGGGCGGAACCAGGGTCAAACGCAAACCAAGCCACTGTCAAGGAAAACAATAAACGTTCAGTTGATTAATCATCTTTCTATAATTTGATTCAGCATTAATTTTCATATTTTTATGTGTGCAGTCATGCAAAACAAGTGCAAATAAATAGCAAAATGGTTAAAAAAAAGAATGTGATCGGTAATGACACAAAAAGCCATTCTTTTCTGAATTCTTTTTAATGTTTATAAAGTTTTACCACTGGAAGAACATAAATTGCAGTGTGTTAGGATCTACTACTCTTCTGTCTGAGGGCTCTTTCCACTGTCTAACTCAACTACATATCAACGGTTCTTTTTAGGGATCAGGCTGAGGATAAACAGAACATATGCTTTGCGTGTACTACTCATTTCTTTATGTTTGCACCTCTTGAGGGAAGGAAATCCAGTGTAAATTCTAAGTCTCTCCAAATGGAGCTTACACAGGGCTAAGATCTCTACTGCACCCATGTGACAAGGCGGGGTCAATCACTGAGTACCAGTGTTGTCATGTGGAAAGAGTCTGATGATCCTCCACATCTGGATGTATCGGCTATTTTTTTCCACTCTTGGCAGCCCACTTGAGCGGTGGTGGAGTGAAGGAAAGGTAGACATGTCCTGCAAGAAAGGGGGCCATTAAAACAAATCTGTTGCTCCCTTTTATGACATCCCATCTGACAAAACACATAGGGCGGAACCTATCGGTGATGTCATCACGTCCGTTTGGAGAGCCGGTGGGCGTTTCTTATGCTCTGATCCCTTATGGTTTGTGAGTACCCAATAAGTTTGACAATAAATGGTGTTTTAAATGAACTTTACTATGGGATTTCCTTGCTTTCTCCCTGGTATGTTTTGCTGTGCTGAGGCATTTATGTGCGGCACATACAGTGACTGGTTGTGGCATGCTCTTAGGGAACAAGAGAGACTCCAGCCAGAATATGCAGTCAGGGAGTGAAAGGTGTTGATCATCCATCCATTCATCCAGATCTCCTTTGATCTGGGGTATGAACATTTGGTAAGCTGCTCCATGACCACAAAGAGCCTGGTGCACGACTGGGGTGTGAAGAGACTTTTTTCCAATTCACGGTTGAGTTTGTTATTTAATAGATTTATATATTTGAGCACAGTTCATGATTTTGATACACACGTATTTATTATGTTTGAATGACAGTGCAACACAATTTTTGAAATTCAAGCAAATTTGTTGCTTTCATAAGCATAGGCAACGCTCATGTATTTCTTTAAATATTAATAAAAAGGGTTCTGTTTAATTCTGAATATGATGAATTTGTTTTTCAGTCCCTGCCAAAAACTACAGGCCAAGTCTACCACACTGAAAAATGACACTACTGGGGGTGTTGTTAACTACCTAAAAGATCTAACGCAAGATGTGAACCAAGACTTCTTGACAGCACTTCATCCCAAAGACATTCAGTAGGGTTGAGGTCAGGGCTATGGGGAGGCCAGTCAAGTTCTCCACACCAAACCATGAATTATGGAGCTGGCGTTGGACACAGAGCCACAGTCATGTTGGCAAAGAAAAGCGTCCTCCCTAAACTGATGCCACAGGGTTGGAAGTACATAATTGTCTAAAATGTAGCCTTCACTGGAAACAAGTAAACTTAATAATTTTAGCAGGGAGGCTACATATCTTTGGCCAAATAGAACCTGTACTCTGGCTTTCTGCCTATTTGTTCAGGGTAAGTGCCTCCAAAAGTACTGAAGTCACGAGGTCAATATAAGACCAACATTTTCAGAAGGTCTAATGTCATGCCTCTCATGACAGGGTGGTTTTAATGGCTAGAGAAATTATGTGGAGCTGTAAACGCAATTCAAGCAAAAGGTTGTGCTATCAGAGTCCTCAAAGAAAAGATCTGAAGTAACTTGGGACCTTGGGACAGGCTGACTCTTTAAGAATCTGTAAATGTTCAAAAAAGATCGAGAATAATGTGGAACAGTGCCAGTTTAGATCCAATCCTAAGCAAGGAAGACATGCCAGCCCACTGGGGGGACCCATTCCTGTATGGCCCTGTGCCTGCTGGGAGGGGGTCTTCTTTACCTCTGTCTAGTTGAGGGGCGTTTGTCAGATTCTTTCATACTTGTTATGCTGAGTGGTGCATATTCAGGGCAAAGAGTTCACCTTCCAGTGATACATAAATTGGATGTCTACTCATTTCTCTGTTGTCCTATCGATGTATGTGCCATGAGGACTTGGTGCCATGCTAGCCCCATGCCTTTTTTTCTGCCTTCCAATGTGCGCAGTCTCTTTTGTACAAGTTCCGGATGACTACTATGTACTACTGAAGTATCAATATTGTGTTTTGCAATTTTGGAAGATATTCCTTTTTTTCTCCATGATATTGTATGGCAAATGTTATGTAAAATAAAAGATTATATAAAAAAATAAAGAATGAGAATGAAGATAAAACTCGACAGAAGAAACCTTAAAAAAAGTTTAACAGCCTACTACAAAACAGCACCAAATGAAGACATCAAAGATCAGCATGCTAATAGTGCCGGCACTACATGCAAACCCAATGCAGTTCAGCTTTTCATGCTTTGCTTTTTAGTCCATACAGTACCTGCCACCAGTTTTTTTTAATGTCAACTGTTGGGTGTCCAATGAGCAGCATGCAGAGTAGAAGAAAAGCACTCCTGGTTGGTTATCAACAATGTAAAAAGGTACGATCGACAACACAAAGATTTACTACTTTCTTTTAAAATTTGGATAGGAATATATATAAAAGAACTCCAGGAAAATATATTAACCCCTTCACACCTAAGGGTAAAACAAATCTAAATGCCTAAGCACAATTCTGCAACGTTGACATGTGATAGTAAAACCGTACATATCATCACAACTACTTTGTACATCCAGGTGGATTTTACCTTGATTTTTTTCAGGACAAATTGGGCTTTCATTTGGTGGTAACTGGTAATGGATAGCTCCTGATTTTTTTTTTATTATCAAAGGAAAACTGGCCCAAAATAGTAAAAAAAAATATTTTTTTTTTTATTTAGCTGTGTGTTTCTTGTTACGACCATAACCTACCACCAAAGAACAACCCAAAATAAATTCTCCAGCTTTTGACGATCGCAGCGATACCATATATGTGTATGTTATTTGTTGTTTGTACCCGTAGTACAGCCCAGAAACAATAGTGCGCATTTTGTTTTTGTCTTTTTTTTTTTTTTACCTAAAACACACTGACACTGACATTAACACTAACTGACACTGATACCATTTTTTTTAAATCCTGACCTTTGACACTGACCTTGACCCAAACACAAACCTGGCACTGAACTAGATCAAACCTTGATCTAGGTATTTTTCTTTATTTTTTCTTTTTAATATTTATCTTCTTTTTTTTTTTTTTTAACAAACATTTTTTTTTTCTCTCTATGCCAGAAGTTAGAGAGATACAATGTATCTCTCTTCTCCATTCATAGAGAGAGAAAAAAGCAAGGAGGCCGGGCTGTACAGTGACTGATCACTGTGATAGCCAATCAGAGGCTATCACAGTGATCATGTGACCCGGAATCGGTGACCCGGGCTCTCAGTGACACCGTGGTCTCTGTGCTGGGAGCGCGCTGAGTGGCGTGCTCCCAGCACAAAGACAGGTACGCAAATATGCGGCCCCACGGAAAAAAGCCCAGTTCTGTGAGGCCGCATATTTGTGTGACGTCGGCCAGGGGCGGACTGACCATTTGGAAGCTCGGGCACTGCCCGAGGGCCCGGGATCAGTAGGGGGCCCCATGAGATGCCCCTTATACCTTTTTCATAGGCTTTTTTGAGTTTGGGCAAGGACACAGGGGCCCCATGATCCCCTATTGCCCGGGGGCCCCATGGGTTGTCAGTCCGCCCCTGACGTCGGCGTCAAGGGGTTAAACAATTTTATGTATCTCAAAATGCCAATTTTCAATCCTGCTAGACTTAAGCGAAACCTTTCTTTGTACTAAAGTGTCTGACACCAACAATGGGGCAATCTTCCTCCCACTAACACCAACAATGGGGCATTATTCCTTCCAGTGACATCAACAATGGGGAACTATTTCTCTAACTGACACCAGCAATGGGGCAATAATTCCTGCACTGACACCAATACTGGGGCACTATTCCTCCCACTGGCACCAACAATGATACACTATTCCTCCCAATGACACCAACGATGCAGCACTATTCCTCCCACTGATACCAACGATGCAGCACTATTCCTCCCACTGGCACCAACAATGATGCACTATTCCTCCCACTGATACCAACGATGCAGCACTATTCCTCCCCCTGGCACCAACGATGGGGCACTATTCCTCCCCCTGGCACCAGCTATTCAGCACTATTCCTCCAACTGACACCAATTATGGGGCACTATTCCTTCCACTGACACCAATGTAAGGCACTATTCCCCTCACTGACACCAACAATAGGGTACTATTCCTTGACTATTGCCATTGCATTTGTGAAAGGGTCCTGTGCTACTTTGGTGCGATTTAGCCCCATAGAATAAGCAAACCACATCCAAATGCAGCCAAAGTCGCACTGCAAGTCGTGTCAAAATCGCATTGCAGTAGTGTGAACCGAGCCTTATATCCTGCCCATTATGTCTGATAATCTTTTGTTGCATGTCAGCAGTGTCTGACAACATTCTGTAGCATTACACTCGCTAAATACTATGTGTGGCCCTTTGATTATGTCAGGGACCACAGATGAGGCCTCCTATATCAGGAAAGCAGCCAACAATGGATGTATAGTATGCTCACCTGTGTCTTGTCCCATTACTTTAGTTCATGTACCTTCTTAGTGTCATACATCTGCACCTTCATTCCTCTTCAGGGGTCGACATCCTGTCAATCGTGATTGACCGGTCGACTGCGGGGAGCCGACAGGTCTATCATGACTGCGGTTTTGCCTCCCCCCAGCCTCAGCTGCTCTCATGTTACTGGTAGAGCAGAGAGCAGGAGGCAGCATAGTGCTGGATGGAGGGCAGGGTCAGGGGCAGAAGCTGCTCAGTGATGTGG